GGGACGGCTGCAGTGTGGAGGAGTAAACACGCAGTGTGACTAAGCATAATTGTTTCAAACCTGATGCGGAAGCAAGGCAGTTGTTGGAGGATGTCAGACTAGGAGATCGGGAACCGACGGCGGAGGTCGGCTACCACAGATGCCACATCAGTTTCTGGAACCAGGCGAGGCCACCGCCAGGGCGCTGCTGGCCCGATCTTTAGTGGCTCTCTGGTATTATACCACTGCTGCAATTTGCAGGGCAGCATCAGTGGCCTTGTTGGCTTCTAAGTTTAAACTTCATAAAGTTATATAAACTACAGATTAAACCCTACGTTTAAATTGATAGTTTGAACCACCAGTATGCGATTCGCTCCTTTGGACTTCTCGTCATCACTGTGTTCATTTGAGTGCATTACTGTATTGGTCTGAAGTTTTAAAGATTAAAAGTTTAAAGGTTAAACTGTTAAAGTTCAAAAACATTAAAGGTTAAAGGTAAACAACTAAAGATTAACGGTTAAGGTTAACGGTTAAAGGTTAACGGTTAAAGGTTAACGGTTAAAGTCATTCAGATAAGATAGCAGTAGAAAATGTGGGGCTTTCCTCTCGTGGAGGACATCATGTGTTACAATGAGTTCGTACCGACATGCAAATGGCATGCCACCATCGCCCTTCTTACTCGTCCACTCAGGCGGCGCAATTCCTTTCTCTATCCACTTACATACTCGTCCCCAAGCTTCAGCCCCCCACTCTCCACTATTCCAGCTCCCCGTTTCGTCACCCACTGTGCATCCCCCTTCCTTAGGTCAGTACATCCTGTCCCTACACTCCCCCTGGATTCATAATAGCCGTCAATCCCATGAAGCTCAGTAGGCATTCACTTCCCATGGGACCTCAAGGTTATTCTTTTGGGGGATTCGCCTACACGCATCATGGCATCATCTAATGGGCATTCACTTCCCATGGGACCTCAAGGTTATTCTTTTGGGGGATTCTCCTCCGATCGCGCCCAGGTGGACACCCTTCAGCCTCAACCTGCTGAAAGTAACACGGCTCCCACTGCTCATGGCTGCATGGCGAATGAGATGTGCATATGAGCACAGGCAGCACACATATGGCTACATGGAGGCTCGAGCCTTGATTCTAGAAGCAATCACTACCAACACACATGCGGCCTGGCAAGACCTCAGGAATACGCTACTAAAGGAACCAGATACAATCAAACAAAATGAACTCGCTGATAATTTCCGATCTGTCTGGGTGGATGGTGAGCAGAGACTTTGCGAATTGGACCAACACAACCAACTGCGATGGAAGCAGTGGTTGTTGACAGAACCACAGTGGGAACATCTACCGAGAAGCCACTTCCAGGTCCCATTCCAACCGACCAACTTCATCCTTTTCCCGGGATGAGAAGGCACAACACACTCTCGGCTACTGCTTCCCCTCCCCACACCTGCCCTCCTCCTCCTGAACCCTCCAAAGCCCACCCCAAACCGCCCTTCAACCCTGTCCCCCTCTCCCCCTACCCCCCCCCCCCCCCCCCCTCCTCGCCGCCCACACCCCAGTCCTTTCGCAGAAGGCCGGCCAACCAGGGACCTCCCAGGAGAGGAGCAGCAGAAGAAGTGACTACTCGGAGACTACTCGGAAACAGAAGATGCAGTCAATAACCAAGTCAGCAACCAAGTCATGATAATGAATCTGACGATGAATATTGGATTGTGGAAAGTACAAAATAGGAATCCTACTGCAGGTGTGACTGGAACGGTGGGAACAGATACATTGCTGGGTGGATACATGAATTTCTGGCTGGGTAGCGCTTGTGGGTGGCCTAGGCTGCCCCTCACAGCTAAATGCAGATCAGGTATTAGGTGGAATGATGCCATCAGGACCTAAGGGTTTAAGGGTTTAAGGGTGTGGGAGCTAAAAGCCCTGGCAATAGATGAAGCGACAGCCAACAGGTGTTAAGGGACCAACGGACTCACTAGAGGACGGTCAGAGTCAGAAGCAGGGAGCATGAACTTGGTGAACTGGGTGATGGAAGACAAAAATGTAGTTTGGACAAAGAGGAGGGACTGGTTATGCTTTGCCTCATGTGACCTGCCTGTTAAAATAACTGACTCATAGGTAGGAGTATACCTCAGAACACACACTCTCGAATATATTCAGTCACATCTTATACAGCATAGAGATCTAGGAAATAAGCAATACACTCAGGAACATCCTCAACTATACACCTCAACTACACCTCACACAGTATGTGCCATTGGGCGTTGGCACGAGTACAGTTACGGATAGCTATAGACAGAACAAAATAAGTTAATGCGGGTGTCGTTAGACACTCCTTACGAGCTCCTTGAGCCACAAGGAATTTTCCTTGTGGCTCATAAGGGAATTTAGCGGCGGCGTTCCACACATCCTTGGGGACGTCCCCCGAGGACGTTTCCTTGTGGCCTGCCCGCGGCCATTTTCATATGAAGATATGCGACCGCGGGTGGGGGTGCCCGTGGTCTAGCGTCCGGTCACTCCGGTGTCCGTGTGGAGACGGCGTGGTCCAGCGACGTCTGGCGGAAAAGGGCATGAGGCAGGCCACAAAAAATAAAATAAAAAAGGGGAACCTCTACGTTTGAAATTCAAAATTTGTAGTACAGCTGTGGTGACGACGACGACGTTCGGCTTGCAGCGCGCAGAGGTTGCAGGTCTGAATCGTCCTTAGCGGCGGCGTTCCTTCCGCCCACCTCCCGGTCAGTGTACGTGCGTGCACCGGGTGCATCCATTACCGCCGAGCTTCTCCTCCAATCGTCCGCGCCGTCACACGCTGTTCCACCAGGGGGACGACATCCACGGAAAGGTGGCAGCTTCTCGGACCTCTCTTCGGGGGGTGAGCCGGTTACGTCTCTGGGGTGCGCGGATAGAGACGGCAGCGGAGAGACGTCATCTCTGTGGAGGTGGTGGCGATGGAGGGCGGCAGAGAGGGCGGATGTGCGCTGTTGACACCGCTTGAGCGGGCAGCCGTGGCGGCGGAAGAAGTGACTTCTTGTGATGCCGGCAGCAAGGGGGAGGTTCGGACGTTGACTCTAGTTCATTCATTCTTCGTTTTTTGTTATTGTTATTATGATTTTTAATAAAAGGATGTTGCGGGAGAGAGAGACACAGTGAGTCTGGTGACGAGTCGAGGAAGGAGTGACATCGGGTCCAGCTTGTGTTCATCTTCTTCTTCTTCTTCTTCTTCTTCTTCTTCTTCTTCTTCTTCTTCTTCTTCTTCTTCCTTTGCTTATTTCTCTTCCCAGTCTCTGAGACTTTCATTCCAGTTGCAATTGAAAAGCATTGTCCCTTTTTGAGCTTTGCATCGTAAGATTTCTAGGATGTCTAAGTCGGTTGAGCTAATTCTGGTAGGTTAGAGGTTGATTACGAAGCTTCTTGAGTTTTTTTATTGCGATGATTGCTCAAGTTGTTCTCAGCCGAAGCTGGGTAATGGCCGTGGTACCGCACATTGTACGTTCTCTGAAAAGGGACGCTGGGCCCGGTTCCCGGCACCTGTTGCTCCCAACGAATAGATTGGGGCATTGTCCTCCTCCCCCCCCCCCCCCCCCCCCCAAAAAAAAAAGAAAGAAAGATTTCCAGGATCCTTCTTTTTTTTTTTTTTTTTTTAAGTCCAGGATGTTGTAGAGGCCAGTTACTAGGCACATTTGTTTAAATTTGTTTTTATCGATCCCTCTTGTCCTTGAGAGCCAAGAAGTTTTTTTCCCTTAAAAAAAAAATAAAAAAAATCCTTCAGTGGTGTTCGCAAAGAATGACATGCATCCAGCTGTACTGTACCAGTGATGGTTTATAGCTTCAATGGGAAACGGCCTGCCCACTCACCATCATTCTGCCCTGTCCATCTGCCACTGTGCAGCCAGCAAGCAGAAACGGTTGCTCATTAACGTCTTTTTTCACCTGCAGCAGATCATTAAAAATAAAATAAAATAATAGTAATAATATAAAAAGATCTCATAATCAGTCCGGGCTATGTTACCAGAGTGGCCAGGGACCATTTGGCCTGCCAGACAGAAAAGGAAATAAGTAAATAGATAAATCAATACCGGAATAATTTGCAAAATACCCCCATAAGTTGAGATAAATGCCAAAATGCCCCTGCAAGATGTGAATAGAGCAGAATGCCCCTCTGACAAAAAAAAAATAAAAAATAACAATAAAAATGGTGAAATACCCCTCGTGTGGGTTGGCGACCGTTGGACCCCCATCTCTGGAATGTACCCCTACCAGGTGGTGTCCAACTTTGCAATATGCCCCGGTACTTGCCTACTTCTCCAAGGCCCGATTGCAAATTGCTCAGGCCCAAACGGCGAGGTCCACATTGCAAATTTGCCCATCCTCCGGACAGGGGCATAACAGTAAGAATTCGGAACACAAAAGGGCATTCCACTCTACCCACATCTTTCAGGGGCATTTTGGCTTATATCTCAACTTACGGGGCCATTTTACAAATCATCCCATGAATAAAATCAATGTGATTTTAATTTTGTAATTTTTTTTGGCAAAGAATTTCGATGTGACCCTGAGGCAAACGTTGACACCCCCCCACCGGTGACCCCACCCTACTCCCTGACCACCGCCGATTAGGACGGGGGCAACATGCATCCCCTTCTTTGTGAGAGGTTGCTATGCTTGCAGGGGTCCCCTGTATAGGCCTAGGAGTAGTGGTAGGTAGATAGTGACAGGTGAAAAAAGGAACTCGAAGGGGGGAAAAACGAAACGTTGTTCAGTTTTTTTTTTTTTTTTTTTTTTTTTTTTTTTT